TGTTTTCCCCTTGAGGATTCTCCTCCATGGAATCCTTCCCAAGCCCTCTCTAAGTTTATTGAAATTAGCTCTCTTGAAGTCCAAGACTCTAGTTTGACTGTGTTCTATTGCTTGTGCTTCCATAATGTTGAATTCTAATATTGCATGATCACTTCCTCCCAGGGTTCCTATGGCTTCAACACCTTCTATCATTTCATCTTTGTTAGTGAGAATTAGATCCAAAATGGCTAATCCCCTAGTTCCCTTTTCTACTTTTTGGGAGACAAAGTTGTCTGCTAGGTTTGCCAGGAACCTGTTTGATCTTCCACTTGGTGCAGAGTTTGTCTCCCAGTTGATGTCAGGGTAGTTAAAGTCCCCCATTACTATTGTGATGTGCTTCCTACATACCTTAGTTAGCTGACTAGCAAAAAGTTCATCTATTTCCTCTGTTTGTTTGGTTGGGTGGCCTGTAGTATACACCTATGGCAATGTCATTTTCCCCCTTTTATATTGACCCAAATGCATTCAAGACAGTTTTTATCATTGTTGTGCTCTATTTCTGTAGAGATGTAGTTATTTCTTATATAGAGAGCAACTCCACCTCCTCTTTTATTTGGTCTGTTTCTTTTAAATAATTTAAATCCCTCTAGCTGTGTGTTGCATGTGTGGGTTTCATCCCACCATGTTTCTGTAATGGCAACAATATCATATCTGCCCTCATTAACCTGAATTTCTAGTTCACCCTGTTTGCTGTTCATACTCTGTGCATAATAGACAGGATCTGAGGAATTTCTTTACAGATCAATACTAAAGTGTCCCTAAGCAAACCCCACCCCACAGTTCATCTGGGCGGTTCAGACCGGCCAATCCCCAGGTGTTAAGTCCATCGTGGGAAAGGGGAGATAACATCGGTCCGGGTCCGGTTGTAGCACAATGTTCAACAGTTCTTCGCATCTCCTTTTGAGACCGGAGAAATAAGCCAGGCTCTGGAGGTTTGTATTTCTTCCCCCCTCCCCACTTTCCCAGCTGCCAGGTTAGGGAGAAGAAAGTTCAGACAGATGTATATTGCAGGAGGCAATTTGTTACATTGTAATGGGCAGCAGACACAGGCAATAAAGAAAAGGTTACATTGTAGGGAATAGAAATGAAAGCAATAACCCCGCAGGCATATCTCCCCTCCCCCTTGGAAATATGGCAGAACCCAGGGGAAGGTGAGATTTGGTTTTAGATCAGAGGAGATAGATAGAAATGAAATATAAATGGGTTCTGACATGGATGTTTTATTTTTGCTCAGATAAAGAGAAAGCAAAAATGGAAAAAGATTGTCCACTCTTTTTCCACTGTTCTAATACTGTATATACATAATGTATATATTAGTGTCCCTGACTGTGAAAGATTGCTGCAATCTCACTGTTGAATGGATTTTCTTTTCCAAGAATATCAGGCCTTTCCTGAAGGAGCTTCTTCCACAGGATTCTTGCTTCAAATGCAGAAGCAAACTAGAAGTAGTTAAAAAAAGTGGATTAGTAGATTGTATGTTGCTTTAAATTCATGCCCAAATACCTTAGATACTAAAATGTTTGCAGATTAACTGTAATTAAAATACAGAAATATGACAAGTTGGCAGCAATAGCGTGGCCATAAAATTAAACACAAAATTGCTTTTTCTGCATTACTATATTTTCTAGGGTTGTGCAAATTTTTGAGGGAATGTTTCACTTTGAGAAAGGCTTGAATTTTTTTCAAATCAACATTGGCCTTGCTCCCGAGAGCAGATCAGGCATCTATGCTAGAATTAGTTTTTGCATATACTTAGGGCAAAACTATCTTCTGCTACAAAACAGTAAAATGTTTGTTATTTTTCTAAGTTCTGCATGTTCTAGCTGAGGCAGGAAACATGAGGCAAGGAAAAGCAGATTGCCTCTCTGCCTCAAGGAAGAGAATCCTCAAGGAAAAGAATTGGATTTCTTGTGAGGACAAAGTTCTTCATCAAAGTGAAGTCAAATTGCTGTTTTTCCCCCCTAAAATTTTAACCATAACATTTATCTCAATATGACTCACTAGATGTGTTTATTGTGCAGATTTGTTTGCTCATACAGGAAGAACAGCCCTTTGGAGGACAAAATTGAAAGTTTAGCATCCAACCTATCACACACATTCATATTCCCAGCTGAAGTTTTTGACTCACAATTTAAATGTTTATATCATTAATTCTCAGGTTGCAAAGAATTTGTGACTAAAGCACAGAATAGGTCCAATGTTTTGAAGGCTGCATCAGTGACATATCACTCTCTATTCTTCAAATTTCTAACTAAATTTCACTAAAGAGTGAAAGTAAACCATGTTGAATTCAGCTTCTTTTCAGTTGATGCAAAGGTAGTATTGCAACTTTGATAGCTCTAGGGCAGGGGTCTTCAAACTTGGCCCTTTTATGACTTGTGGTCAACTCCCAGAATTCCTCAGCCAGTGTGCCACAAGTCATAAAAGGGCCAAGTTTGAAGACCCCTGCTCTAGGGGATTATGCAAAGAAAAAGAATCAGAATTCTGAGAGAAAAAACCTACAAGAGTGATACTTCTGTCACAGTTGGGAATTGGGCAAATTATTTTAGCAAAAAATATTTACCATAATAGCACCCTTTAGAAATTTCTTTCACCAGAAATACGAATGGAACTCTCACTCCTGACTTTCAGGAAAACTTTAAAATGTACTTCATAGAAGGCCTTTCCTTAAGATCTAGTTTCTGTAACGCTTAACAGTTTAATGAGAGAATGGACAATTCATGGTGTGTTGGTTTTAATTAATAGGTTCTTTTGGTATGGGCACAATAGTTCAGCAGTTAAAGACGCTGAGCTTGTCACCTGGGTAGCTGAGAGCCCAGGTTCGAGACCTGAGCTCTGTGCAATGGGGTGAGGTCCATTACTTGCCCCAGCTCCTGCCCACCTAGCAGTCTGAAAGTTAGCAAATGCAAGTAGATTAGGTACCACTTTTATGGGAAGGTAACAGTGTTACATGTACCTTTGACATATAGCTATGTTGTCTACATGACCACGGAAATTGTGTTGGACAATGCTGGCTTCCTCGGCCAAGAAATGGAGATGAATACCATGCCCTGGAGTTGGACACAACTGACAGGGAGACCTTTAGCATTTTTATTTTGGTATAGTTGATTTTTTTTTAATTGACCTTTACAACTACAAAATTTGTTATTGTTATGACAGTTTATATTATCACTATTCAATTTCTATTGTCTGTTACTCTATTACAATTACCTAGTATATACTATGTTCTATGCTCTTACTGGTATGACAATTTCTGAAACAGGTTCTGTCTTTTGTTTTATTTAAAAAAAGGCATGTAGAGGTTTTGCAACTTTTTATATTGAGTTACTACACATCTTTTCCTCTCTTTTGGTCTGTCCACTTTTGGAAGGAAAAACTGACTGCTAGACACTGTTGCAAATAGCTACAGGGCTTCCAAAACAAGTCTCTTCTCAATTCTCCTGTCACTTCCCATACCTGTGACAAGCTTGCAGCTTTATTGGCAACTGTTGTGCTCATGGCTAGGAAGAAGGCTCAGTTGGGAGAGCAAGAAGATAGCACAGGTGCTTCCAGTTTTGCTAAGCAGCTTGCTCTTCCATCCCCATCAAAATTTATATGATCCCCACTATGGTAGTTCTGTTAGGCTATTGGCCTTTGTTTTATTATGCATTGCAAGTGATGGGGGCAGATTGTGGAATGTTTGCAAAGTGAAAATATGTACTTCAATGGAAATTGGTTCCCAACTCTAAATCTTATTTTTCTCTTCCTAAATTAAGATGTCACTTTGCCAGATTTGATCCCTTCCCCATATCACACACTTATTACAGAATTGTCTGCATGACTTACTAGATTTGGGTTTTAATTTTCTAAGTTAGATAAGAACGTCTTTTCAGCTTGACCTTTTAAAATATGTAATTTTTACATGGCTTTTTCAGCTTTGGAATTTTCTGACAAATACTTTTTGTCATTTGGAAGGAGAAAGTCCAAGGGCCCTCAAGCTGTGTTCTAGCTATACAAAGCAACTATAATTCTACAACTATAATTCTTCAGAATAAACAAGACAAATCATGTTTGCCAGGTTATATCAGGTTTTCTTTTAAAAACATACAGTAGTAATTTTATTTTGTAACTTTTAGTTAAAATGCATGGTCTTATCATTTATAAAGCAATCAAGCATTTAAAACAAATACTGCCTGTGAAGCTATGTAGTTTCATAAGTGCCATAAACACTTTTAGAGCAAGATACTAGAAAGAGGAAATTTTATCCTAGTTGAATCAACTTATAGGTAAGAAAAAGAGAATTCTATTGTCTTCCCAATGATTCCTATACACATTTAAATTTCCAGAACCAATTCATTAAAGGATATCCATTAACCATGGATATTCTAAGCATGTTTTAATTGTACAATGCTTCTAAATATTCTGTTTGATTTAAAAGCAGTCTAACACAATTGTTACTGGTTTCAGGTAGTCCTCAACTTACAACAGTTTGTTTAGTGACTGTTCAAAATTACAACAGCAGTGAAAAAAGTGTGACATTTTTCTCACAACTATTGCAGCATCCTCATGGTCACATGATCAAAATTCAGATACTTGGCAATTGATTCATATTTATAAAGATTTCAGTGTCCTAGGGTCATGTTATCGCCTTTTGTGACCTTTTGACAAGCAATGTCAATGAGAAACCAGATTTACTTAACTACAATGAGTCACTTAACTGTAGCAAGAAAGATTGTAAAATGGGGCAAAATTCACCTAACAAATATCTCACTTAGCAACAAATTTTGGGCTCAGTTGTGATCATAAGTCAAGGACTACCTGTACTAGCAATCAGGAGCAGTTTTCTCATGATGAAAACTTTCAAAAAACTTAATCTGAAAACTAAATTATATAAAGAGAATTGGAGAGCAAGAGAGATTTCAATTGTATTATAAAATTTATGTGGCTAATTCTAAATCAGTTAATAGCAGACACCGCATGAAAATGGGGAGCAAAAATAAATTCAGTTTTAATATACATATTTATGCTTCATTACAGATACTCCTTAACTTAGGATTGCTTGTTTAACAATGGTCTGAAGTTAGAATAGCCTCAAAAAAAGTGCCACCCCTTCTCACCACCCCAGCATTCATGTGATTGTACTTGGCAACTGGCTCGCATTCACAACAGTTGCAGTATCTTGCAATCATAAGATCATGACTTTCTCAGCTAGCCTTTGACAAAGAAAGTCAATTGGAGACACTGGATTTGCTTATTGATCACATGATTCACTTAATGCCCACATGCTTCACTTTAACAACCGTGGTGAAAGTCATAAAATTATGTCTGGTCACATCATAACTCACTTTATGACCCTACCTGCAAGCATTAACAACTAAAAAGTGAAGTACTCATTGGAAACAAAATCAAAAAGATTCAGGTTATCTCAGAAAGTCTTAACAAACAATAGGTTTTTATACATTACAATTAATAATACTTCTAATTGTTTCACATGTACTGATAAAGGAGAATATTTGTAATTCAGAATTGAATTGAGCGGTCCTTGGTGCTCTCTGATGATCATTAGCACTGATATGCTACCTAGTTTGAGTAATGAAACGTCTGCAAGAAAATAGCCAAGCTCAGAGAGCACCAAGGACCTCTTGTTTACATGTAGTTCATATCTGCATATCCACCCCATCTTCTCTCTGCTTTGCTTCCCAATATAAGTCCTGTAACAATTTAGCCACTACATTTAGCTCATAAAATGAGCTGTAGCTCATGAACCTTGTACATGTACCTTTCATTAAAATTTGTTAGTACAAAAAGGTGTTACCAAATAATTTTAATTTTCATACAGTTCTATTTAGGAAGGTATAGGAGGACATAAGAGATAAGAGAGCTATTTTTTGGAAGGGCTATAATTGGCACAAGACATCTCCCAATTGATTACAATACTATGCATCTTCAAAATATATGCAGTTAGCTTTTAGAATGTGTTAATCACATTTTCTCCTTAGCTAGGTGGTTGGTAGTAAACAACAAAAAATGACAGCTCTTGATCCCTTTTTATTATTATTATTATTATTAATTGCATTTATATCCCGCCCTTCTCCTTTCGGACTCAGGGCGGCTGACAGATGATAAAAAGCTAACATAAATACATATTACACCTAATTAAAATTTAATTAAAACGAAATATTTGAAAGTGTCCAATTAAAAGTAATTAAAACCCCTATAAAATCCCCTAGGCCAGTCCCGCTTGCTGNGGTAGCCAATGCAGCTCGCGCAGAAGCGGCGTAACGTGGGAGTGACGAGTCCCTCCCAACACCGCCCGCGCGGCCGCATTTTGGACCAACTGGAGCCTCCGGGTGCTCTTCAAGGGAAGCCCCATGTAGAGAGCATTGCAGTAGTCCAGGCGGGAAGTCACAAGGGCATGAGTGACCGTGCGTAGGGCGTCCCGGTCCATTTATTGTAAATCAATAGTACTAATTTCCCTTGATTTCTGTGGGACCTTTTGCTTACAATGAAATTTGGAGATCCAAGGAGCTGACTTGGATTAACAGATGTCTATGGAGATTCTCGTTCATCAAAGTCATGCTTGTCCCAAATATGCTTTTTCAAGAAGCAACTGGACTTTCTTGTTTTTCTTTAAAGACATTTCACTTCTCATCCAAGAAGCTTCTTCAGCTCTGACTGGATGGTGGGATCCAGTCAGAGCTGAAGAAGCTTCTTGGATGAAAAGCGAAATGTCTTTAAAGAAAAACATGAAAGTCCGATTGCCTCTTGAAAAAAACACCTTTAGATTAGCAGATGTAGAGAGAAATTATTCTGTCTAGTGTGCCTTAATATAAAGGCATTTCTATATTTCAGATGCTAACTAAGCATTTAACAGAAACTCCCTGCAACCCTCAAACTGGATCTGTCAAATAACTAGGGATAGGTAAATACCAACTAGCCCATGTTTCTTGCAGAGTCTTGTTCCAATTAATTCTATAAGCACAATGAAGTGATCTGTCCATGACAAGGGATTGATAAAAAATATCCCCAAAAACCAGTCATATTCTGAGGAAAAGCTTTGTCTAATGGTCCAATCTGTGATGAACCTGGGACAAGCATATTGTTAGTGATGGTCATGCATTTATGAGCTTGGTCTGATCCATGAAAAGAGAGGTTAATCCAAGAGACTAGCATCTTGAAGAAATCCATAATTGGCTCTGCAGTGAAATCAAGCTCTGGAAGTAGCACTGCTGTGCACACTATAGTGCTGGGGATATACAATCACAAAGGTTATATTGGAATCCATTCTCCCAGCTTGTTGCTTCTCACAAATATGCCCCTTGTCTAGCCACCTAAAGACCAATACCCTTTGCAAGTGCCAGGGACTCTAGTATACCATTTCATTTCCCTTATTCAAGCCTGAGTCCAGGTCAGAAAGATTTCAATGAGGTGTACTCCACACTCCATGGCCTGCAAAGTTGTGTTGACACATGCCTGATCTATTATCCATCCATGATTGTCTCACGGATAAAACTGGATTTATAAACCAGCTACTATCTCAATGGTAAGACTGTAGAATCAGAAATAGAGATTGGCATTTAATTCACCTCTCCCAGGGATGATTCAATCTTCCTCCCTCCCAGATCAAAATATTTATGTATTTATTTTTCTTGTCCCTGCCTTACATACTCACCTTCATTTCAGTCTCCCTCCCATGTCTTAGCCCCTATGGTCGTCTATCTTTCTATCCCTTTAAATGTTGGAGGATCTATGTAACACTGACTTGAAGACTAGTATTATGTGCATAAGCACGTCAGCATTTATTTAAAAAAGGTGATTCTGTCCCCTTCCTCCACACTTCTTTATGTATATATCTTCAGTCCAGAAACATTCTCTACTCATCTGGAAGCTGAGTGAGTCATGGCAATTGGACTTCTTTTCTTTTTGGTTCGAAACTTTGCTCCTTCTCCTAATAACTTCTTCAGTCTGAGCAAGTTGTTAGGGAGTCCCATATATGTCCTCCAGGGAGGTTTCATTTCTCACCTAATGAAACCACCCTGGAGAATATATATGGGGTCCTCCTAATAAATTTGTTCAAACTGAGGAAGCTACCTGAATAAGCAGCAAAATATTTCAAACCAAGAAGAAAATAAGTCTAGTTGCTATGATTCAACTTCCAGACAACTCTGTCTGGATGACTGAGAAACTTCATCCACATTCTCTCTACTTTATTCTCCATTCCAAGCAAAGTGATTCCTATGTTAAACCAAACTTTTTAACAGGTGTATGTGTGTGTTTGTGTGTGTGTCTATATGTCTATTATAAATCTCTTCCCTCATTTCTGTGTCAGGAAGCTTCAAGAATGCTGACTTTCCTTTTCTTTCAAGAAAGTGGCAGATAGACCAGGGGTCCGTAACCTCTGGGCCGCAGCCCACTACCGGACCATGGCCTATTCTGAACTGGACCATGTGAGTGGTGGCCTGGGGCTGCACACAAATTGCATAGCTTGACTTGTACGAGTGGCAGGTCAGTACGCTTGCACATGAGTGTGCAGGTCAACTGGTGCCTGTGTACCTGTGTGCCTGCCACTTGTGCGGCCTGGTTCCCCTTTCCTCCCTCCCCCAGCTGGGAGGTGAAGCCACAAAGATTGGGGATCACTGAGATAGACCATTGGCACCAAATGAAGTTTGATTTGACATAGAAACACAATTCCTAGGGAGCAAAAGAATTGTGTGATATCAGAGGAAATTATATCCTAAAGATCCTAAGTGACCTTAATTATCATGCTATCCTATGTGTTATCTAATTCCATATGTTTTGCAATCAAGCACAGTATGCTAATAGAAATCATTACTTCCCATTTAATCTAGATTTTCTTTATTCTATTATAATAAAGAAGGGGTCCTGGGAGTTCAGATGTTGCTCATCAAGTCCCAGGATCTTTATCATTAGTCAAAATGGCTTGGTTTGCTTTGAGTTATAATTTAACAACATCTGGAGAGTCATATATTTCTGTTCTAAATGTATGCCCCCCAATCTTGTCTGTTACCTGATTAGGGTGAAATCCATCCATGGGTTCTAATAGCTGCCAAGTTTCTCCTTTTATTTTGTGCCACATCACAATAACTACAAAAAATAATTATAATTATTTCTTACAATGATAAAAATTATATAATATAGGAATAAACACATATAGTCTTAACACAACAATATTTTTAGCAAATGAGTATGATGCTGTATGTATGTATAAGTATGATGCTCTACGTAACATTGTCAGAGCAAATATTATATTCCCTCCACTTTCTTTCCAGGCAACATTTAAATTCCTCCAAGATATTTATGCAGAGCAAAATGTTGGCAGATCAATTCGCATTCACTTCCAAGCTAGAACAACACTAAAATGAGGCACAATTGGTAATGAACTAGACAACCCATGATCTCTTGAGTATTGTTTCAGAGATATTTCATCAGAGTCCCTTCCAACTTTATTATTATTATTATTATTATTATTATTATTATTATTATTATTATTATTATTATTATTATTATTATTATTATTATTATTATTATTATTATAACAGAGCTTATAATGTACTGCCTTCACTGGAATAGTTGGCATACAATCAGAGATTCATCTGCCTTGAAAACAGCCCAGTCTGTATTATCTAATAAACTGTTTTATGATTATTTTTATGTCATAAAAAGTTTTATAAAATTTGTACTCACTGTAGATCCATGCCAGGTGGATCTACAGCACATCATCCCCTTTGTTCAGAGTCCTAATAATTTTGGGATTGTAATCCCAAAATTATTGAAAAGATGTTATGGTCTGGTCACTTGAAAAGAAGTAAATTGTAATTCTAGTTAAAGCTGAGCAAACCCTTTACACACTTTTTATTATAGAAAAAGTACTTAGTTTTATAATATAGTTAGAACTTAATTTTGTATGAGGAATTGTTTTTAAAAAGAGGTGACCTTGTTTGAGGAGGAGGGAAAATTGGGGGTGGAGAGACAAAGGAGAAGCAAAAGAGGAGGAGATGCCTAATATTGAAATCCACCAGAAACTTCATCCTAATAAGATCAAAAAAAATGTATTGAGTAGGAGAATATTTATGTGACAGGTCAGGATTAGTGGCTTATGATTCTATTACAAGAAAACATCTTTCTTTTAAAGAGGCTAATGGATTCCTTTTTTGGGATTGCAACATTTGTTGGAAACATCTTTCTGAACATTTTCATATGCATAATATCATTTCATTCAGTTCTACCTGTGTGAGTGTGTGTGGAGACTCCCTCCCCCTCTTTGTCCCAAAGGTGCTTTTTCAAGAGGCAACTATGCTTTCATGTTTTTCTTTGAAGACATTTTGCTTCTCATCCAAGAAGCTTCTTCAGCTCTGACTGGATGGCGGAGAATGGAAGGATTTATATTCCTTGTACATTTGGTTTTTCCTGCTTAAGTGTAAAACCTTGCTTTTCTCCACATTAGATATCATTTTGTTGGATAGGGCCCAGTGTTCAAGTCTGTCAAGATCCATTTGGGTCCTGAGCCTATCATCTGGGGTGTTGGCTATTTCTGCCAGCTTAGCGTCATCTGCAAATTTGATGAGTTGCCCTTCTATTTCCTAAATCGTTTATCAAGATATTGAAGAATACTGGGCCTAAGAGGGAACCTTGTGGTACCTCACTGCTTACTTCCCTCCATGTAGATGTAGTACTACTCTTTGAGTGTGCTTTGTCAGCCAGTTACAAATCCATCTGATGGTGGTGCTGTCAATCTTACATTTTTCTAGCTTACGAAGAAATAGGTTGTGGTCTACTTTGTCAAATGTCTCACTGAAATCTAAGTATATTATGTCCACAGCATTTTGCTGGTTCACTAATTCAATCATTTTATTACAGTATAGCATTATTATTAGTAGTAGTGTTAATATTATGACGAGTATTATGGTAGTTGATCATTTTTACAGATATTTCAATGAATCATCCTGTCAAATATGTTATATCATCGTTTATAATCAGCTTGTGCAATCTTCTTGTAAGTCCTGAGTATATGATCTACTGTTTCTTCTGTTTCTTAGCACAATCTGAATCATTTGAATCGGTTGACAATTTTTCAATACTGTATTGATTTTGTTTTAATTTGTGTAGCCTGCTCTTGCAGTGCCAAAATCAAGCCTTCAATTTCTTAATGGGTCTACTATTCTTTAAGTGTAATCTTTTATTCCCAGTTCCCTCCCACCAACCTTCAAATCTCCTCTTATCATCTGTTTATTTTCAAATCATCAAACTTTTTCACAGAGATTTCTTGCAGTTAATTTCAAAGACTTCATATATTCTGTTATAAAATTTTAAACACTCTACAGGACATATCTGAAGTCTATCTAACCCTTTAGCTTTCAAAAATAAATATTTTAATTGCCCCTTTGCTGTTTATTTGGGGCTCCCAAATAAATATTTTAATTGCCCCTTTGCTGTTTTTTTTTTTTTTAATAAAGTTCTTCTTGTTAATCCTTTATTTTTTTTAAATCTTACTTGCAGCTTCTTTCACCCAGGGTAGAAGGCAAATCTTTTATTGTAATACAGATAGTCTTTCAGAAGATTCTTACATCTAGAAACTCATTAACAAGCAGCTTCCCAAAGTAGCTAAGACAGGGAGTAGATGAACTTAGTGGTCCTTTAAAGACACCAAATTATGGTTTAGGCAGGATGTTTTCTCTTCCAGCTCACCGAGCTCTCAGACTTGCTGGAAATCATCATCTTATGATCTCTTGACAGGGATGCTGTGAGAAGAGAAAACTTATGGGTGATCCTAGTCCATTCTTAAATCTAGAAAGAAATTCCAAAGAGCTGATTCATTGGCTTCTTTTTTGTGGAACTATCTTCAGTCCACCAAAATGGATTTTAAAATATTTTTTCTTCCTCTTTTTTAAATAAAATTTTATTCTATTTTTTTATGTAGGATTGCTCTATTTTTCTATCGAGGAAGGACAGATATCCCTAGCCAAACACCTCAACAGTACAAGGTCAGGAGCTGGGATTACAACACTAATTTTATTTTTTTCTCATTTTTCTTCCTTACCAGAAAGTAATATAGAGTTAAGATATGTAGTTAGGATGTGTAGTCCCAGAGGTTTTCTAGGAGAAGAGGTTTGAGATGTCAGCCCATAATTCTAAGACCTCAACCATACAGCTACAACATAAAATCATAGTTTTATACTGAGGTACAGGAAATATTCAAATTAGGCTTCCCCAGATGTTATGATATTTGGGATCCTTTCTAAAAGTTCTAGGATTAATAATAAATTTAGTTCTCCATTTCTGAAAATGCAAGCATCTCTACTGTTAGACAGATAAATGAATTAATTTGCTCTGGAGTGTAGTTAGAAGAACCAGATTCTTACCTGTCATCTACCTGAAACAATGCTAAATAATATTTTGCAACATTATTGCAGGTTTCTTGCAGTAAAACAAATGTATGCTTTATTCATGATCCAAATAAAGATGCAATAATGTTATTGATCATTTATGTATGTTCTTAAATACTTATGTATACATATTTAAATTATCAATGACATCATTTATATTCAAGGCAGGAAAGAAAGTTCACAACTTAAGAAGATTAAAGGCAGCATAATAGAGATGTTAAAAGCCCATATTGCCTTAAATTTTCTCATATTTTAAAGGGCTATTCAACTTATGAACAGAGACATTCTAGTCTTTGAACAAACTACTTTGTTTCCCCAAAAATAAGTCCCAGACTTATTTATTTATTTATTTACTTGTTTGTTTGTTTATTTAGCCTCCAAAAGAGACACTAGTTCTTATTTTCCGGGGGTGTCTTTTCCAAGGTCTCACCTTGCGGTGGCAGCACCGACAGCCCAGCCCAGCCGGCCCACTTCTTCTGTGGTTAAAGGAAATGCCTCTGCAGCTGAGAATGGAGCTCAACCTGCATTTCACCATCAGAGGCCTTCTGGAAACGCCTCTGCTGCCAAGAACTGAGCTATGGATTGAATCTGTAGCTCAGTTCTCAGCTGCAGAAGCCTTTCTGGAAGATCTCTGATGGCGAAATTCAGGCCGGGGGGTGCCGCAGAAGAAGTAGACAGGCAAGGGAGGCCTCGCTACAAAGGTAAGTGGCTACAGGACGCGTGGGGCAGCTCCACTCCCCCACCCCCCACCCTAGTTTGATTTTTAGGTGTGCATGTTTTAGGGCTTATTTTTGGGGTAGGGTTTATATTACAACCACCCCCAAAAATCAAATTAGAGCTTATTTTTGGGGAAACATGATATATTTAGTTTAATTATATGGGGACTTTGGCACCATCCATATTTCAGTCTCACAGAACAAAATCCTGAAAAACCTGATGGGACCTAATTCTCATTAAATCAATTCTAGAACATTTAAATTCCAAGTGTTAAAACATTGAAAGTGGGTGATAAAATAGCATTTGCTGCTAAATATTTCATACTCTGAAAAGGTTTAGCATTGATTTAGCAAGACTGTAAACTAAAAATAGGTTAGTGAATAGAATGAAATGGCAGCAGTGTAGAAGGAAATTTTTTTCCTTCAAGGAGCTATAAAACATTGATAGAATTATGTTTTGGTAAGATTAGATTTTACTAAGCAATGCAGAAAGTTAAACTGTTTACTTCTTTCCACATTCCACTATTTTGATTTAAATTTATTATTTCAAAATAATTCAGCTCACTAGCAATATGCTAAAGGCTGTTACACAGTTTTAAATAGATCTTCAGAATTGTTTTGATGTAAATGCCTATCCATTAATAATTCTTTATTAATAAAGAATATGTGACTGCATCACTAAGTAAAAAGAAAGATAAGTAATTCAGAGTTCTTATGTCTCATCTAGTGATAAAGCAGATAATAAATATAATAGTAGCAAGCTTTTAACTTGTCATTCCATTGAAGAAGTTTAGGGATAATTGTCAATCTTTCAGACTGGGAAACCAAGGTCATGCATGCTAATTCTACTTTTAATATAAGATTATAGCAACAGACTCTAGCAAGTTTGAATGTGCTTCCCTCATCCCCCCTCCCCTTTATCTTCATCTTCATGAGAACTGGGCTGGGGGGGAGAGACGTGGAGGTCTTGTCTGAGATGCTTTCTCAAGTTACAGTTTTGCCCCAGGCTCAGATTTCTTTTACCTGCCCATTGTCTTGGTAGCAGCTCTTCCTCCTGTTCCTTAAGATTTTCTCTTCCTTTCCATTACAGTACGTTAAATATTTTAAATTCAAAACCTTTTGAATTCAAAGTCAAGTTCAAAATGAGTCATTCCAACTATTCCAGAAGTGTTTATGTCAGGGCTATCGTATCTGGGCAGCAGAAATCCAGGTAAGCACGAAAACAATTATTGATGTTTACCAATTGTAAAAACTACAAAAAGACTGCAAATGTTGGAGGAAGGCTTGGGGGGGCTTTGAAGCAAAACGATGTAAAGCAATGTGGCGGCTTTTCTTAATTCTTAGCAAAGAGAAAGGGTTATGTTATGTTACAGGTTATGTCACAGTAAACAAACTTAATTGTTGTCTTATTTATTGCTTAGTTTTGCTTGATTGTTTCTTGAAATGAAGTGTCTTTCCCTTGAAGATTTGTCTAGTCTGAATAGAAATGGACAGTAACACATTTCTTCAATAATTCTCCAGTACATCAGTAATTCTAATAAAACTATATGCCTTGTAAACAGAATATTTTTTTTCAAATGTTGGCTCCTATGTCTCTACAGTAGCTGCACCTTCATTATTCTACTTTTCTTTAAATTATAATGTTTAAAAACAAAACATCATCGCAGGGTCTTGCTACTGCAGAATTCATGAATGAGAACCATCTCACCAAGGGAAGGAATTGATATCACTGCCTCCATCCATCTCTCCTTGGACAAAGTTAGCAAAACGATTACATTGATTGTTCAAACCATAGCAGGCCAGTAGCAGTACTCAAGTTTTTAAGGTAATTCATATGCATTTACTTTAAAAAAATGGCCACTCTTTAATACCTCACAATCTTGTCCTTGGAGAATAATAATCAATATTCATCCTTTAGGCCAGCCTTCCCCAGTATTGCTGTCACTTGAAACCTTATGCTCCTGTTCCAATCTAACACTTCTAAGTTTTGGCACCAGTTTGACAAGGTTAATTTTAAGCTAGTGGGCATTGTCCCTCCTTCTATTGATGTACAATTGTTCATTCAGATTTTGTTTACTTACTTTCTTTCAGTGGGAAATCCATGTAGAAAACGTCAAAATTGGAATACTTCTCAGATTTTGCTATTTCTTTCAGGACATTGGAAAGAAGCATGGCTCTCTGGGGAAAAAATCAATAAAATATGCACCCTTACTTTATTGATATGAGAATTTGCTAAGACTTCAGAATATTGTTCTCTCTTGCCAACATGTGACCTTTATATTGTTAAAGCACTGTATTGTCAGAGCTTCTCAGAAGGAATTTAAATGTAAATATGCCAATTTGAGTCAGAAAACTGACCTCTCTTTTGGCAAAGAATTGTCCTATTGGCACATCTTTGATAAGTATGCTATAAAGATGCTACACAATTTCAGTGACAACGTTCACTTACAGATGTCAGATTTTCAAAGTAAGATTTGGTAAAGATTCAGTGGTCCACTAATCCATTTCCACTACCTCTGTCAGGCCCAAGCCCAGAAATGAACCAGTGGGATCCAGTCAAGTCCAATCCTTTGTTTGCTTACACCTAATAGACAAATCTTACCAAAATAAAGCTATAACTTTCTAAGCTCTAGATATATTCTGAGACATTCTAGATAGTGCTTATAACTTTTGATCATTTGAAACCCTTTAAATTGAGCTCAATTGCTGATGATATTATAAACATGCCCATGAAATATTCTCAGCAGCAGTACAGAATTGGTTTGCCACAGACTTCTTCCTGGATTTCTCTCTCTAGCCCAGAGGTCCCCAAACCCCAGTCTGTGGACCAGTATGGGCTGCGGCATGCCAGCAACCGGTCTGCACAAACAAGCAAAGCCCCATCCGGAGGATGCAGGCAGCGCACAAAACCATGCAACCTCTGGTCCACAGAAAAACCTCTCTCCATGGAACCAGTCCCTGGTGCCCAAAAGGTTGGGGACCTTTGCTCTAGTCTATATACCTGCAAGATCCTGTTGATCTCCCCTTTAAATACTAACCAAGCCAGCCCCTGCCTATACTTTTTGTTCTGGAGTTTTTGTTTTATGATCCAAGTCGGGGAAGTATTGCCACTTGCTTCAGCTCTGTCCTAGTGCGAGTGTATGCCTGTTGAACCATCAAACATTAAATAGGAAATCTTAATGATATTAAAAGTCAGACATTTTTTCCTCAAAAACAAAATAATACCACAACCATTATGCTTATCTTCTTTTAAAGATCTAGATATTGTTCCTTTAAAAAAGGAAAGATAGATAGATGATTGATTGATAAATGATAGATAGATAGATAGATAGATAGATAGATAGACAGACAGACAGAGAGACAGACAGACAGACAGACAGACAGACAGACAGACAGACAGACAGACAGACAATAGTTTAGATAGGAGAGAGATTTATACTATTTATATATTACATACCTCTGTAGTCAAATTCCTAAGTATGTCATTTGAAGTCAACCAGCCATTGCATGGATTAATCTGTGGAATGTGAAAAGCTCTTTTAATATGGCATCAGTATTATATATGGTTGAAAAAGACCAATATAGTCTACTAGATAGTTGAGTGGTAGCATGAAAAATAGCAGCTGGAAGTGACACCCTAAAAATTTCTGAAATGATCAGAAGTTTAGATAAATAGCAGTGCATTAAACTTTCAGACCTAATCTGGAAATGCCAAATGATTTGATTATACTTGGGAAACATTTGTTTTCAATAAATGCAGCAATAAATGTAACTGTATTTAGATGTTTCTGACTGTCAAATGTTGCCCATAGTTTTAGCAGTAAAGACATAGATGACCTACAAAAAGTTTGGCTGTCAACATTAAATATTAACATGGTGCTGCACAGAACTTTTTTCCTAGTTTTTCAAATGTGCTTTGATGGCATCACATAAGGCTTTATCATCTTGCCTAGCCCTAGGGCTTGTTATTTCCAAAAGACTGGATAACACTATTTCAGAAAACAAAATGCTGAAGACCAACAATTTATGGAAAAAGTTTTCATCTGCTAATGTCTTAAGAAATTTGCACTCCATAATACTCTGCTCCACATGGTGCAAACAGTACTGACTGATTTTTTTGTCATTAATTCTAAGATCTCCAGTGTTATGCCTCAGATGCCAAAAGATTCTCTCCTTGGTGAGAATCAACCATGATTCCCATCTCACTTGACTTTTGACATTTTACATTAAAAAAAACTTTTTAAAGAGTATATATTGCAAAATAAAATCATAGATTTCAACATCAGCTTTATTTCTGAGAATGTCCCAGTCCTCAAACAGGTCCTGTGACAAATATGGATGAGGGTGCCTAGCCCTTTGTTTGGAAAAGTGTCCACCTGGTGAGAAGGAGGACAAAGATTAACAGAGAGTTAGAAACATCCTGTGGAGGAAAGCTACAGATTGGAAGACAGTTTTCTGGTAAATTGGTGTTTTGTTACATATTATGTTCCCTGATAATCATTTGTTCCTGAGCAAGCTTTATTTCCAGCAGCAACTTTGCAAGAGTATCTCAAACATATTCTCAAAGTTCTACAAATGGCCAACCTGAAAAAACTGGGAACTCCTGCATTAGCTCTTAATCCATATCAAATTGTTACAAATACAATTATTCATATAACTTTTATAAACATCACTTTATATAGATTATTATATAAATGATAATAGAAATATTAAATTGCATTTAAATTCCATGTAAAATTATTGTCACTTAATTGTTTATTTTCAGTGCTTCCAAAGTATGGATGGGCTTCTCTAGTACTAGAGCAAAGGGACAGATGAATTTCTGTGTAGAACTGTGTTATGTTGTGTTTCCTAAAGGTGAGCACCAGCAGGTATCCCATTATATGTTTTGACTTAGTCAATCTGATTTTAACCTCATCTGTAGCTGTAATAGGAAAGTTGCCTCCCAAAACTCCAATACAGACACGTAAAGAAAGTGTACACTAAAATAATAGAAACTAGCTTAAGACAGTTATAGAACCACAACTAACAGAAGAGCAGATAGGTTTTAGAAGAAATAGAAGCTGCACAGACAAAATTTTTGTGTTTAAAAACTAATATAAAAGAACATGGACTACAATAAGAACCTCTTTGTCACATTTCTAAACCAAGAGAAAGCATTTGATAGAGTTGATAGAAAATTGTTATGGCTAACATTGACCCAATATGGAGTAAGTGAACATCTTATTAGAGTATGCAAATGCTTATATTATTATTGTAAAAGTGTAGTCAAATCAAAGAACATCAGAACCCTTAATAGTAACATCCAGAGTAAAACAGGAATGTGTACTATCATCACTATTGTTTATTACTTACAGTACATTGACAGCATAAGCAAAGAAACTAAACCCAAGAATGGAAATAATATCAATAAACAAATAATAATAATATCAAAAAACTACTCTTCGCTGATAGTCAGGAATTGATAGCAAATAGAGCCAAGAAACTGCAACAACATCTTATAGCTATGAACCAAGAATGCAACACAAATAATATGAGAATCAACAACCAGAAGTAATGGCAACTGGAAGAAAAAAAGCATACCCTAAATATAGTGATAGGAGGAGCAGGCATAAAACAAGTATCAAAGTTCAAATATCTAGGAACAACATTCACCTAAGATGGTGAAGTGGACAAAGAGATTAACAGATTGCAGAAAGGCAAACCAAGTATTGGAACAGCTTGCCATACCATACCAATCAGCACAAATAAACATCTCATGCAAACATCTTATCCCCACCCTATGTTACCAGTGCCTAACATGAACACTTACAGCAAAACATAAACAAAAGCTAATCACCAAGGAAATGAAATATTTGAGGAAGGCTGCTGGAGTGACAGAAGAGATAAAATCAGAAATGAGACCATAAGACAAAGAATTGACATAGAACCAATCTTAAACTATATACAAAAACAGCAAATGGAGGGGCTTGCTAATTTGGAGAGGATGTATTGTGACGCCATACTGTACAAGGTATATACAAAAAGAGAAGGTCAAAGAACATGAGGCAGACCCAGAAGAAGATGGAGAGACAAAATCAAAGTTACACTACATCAACATCAGTTAACAATAGTTGAGGCTGCCAGAAGTGCAAGAGCCAGAACTTTGTATCTCCCTTATAACCAACACTATAAAAGTGGCAGAGGCAGAAGAAGCAGAAGCAGAGGAGGAGGAGGAGGAGGAGGAGGAGGAGGAGGAGGAGGAAAAAGAAAAAGAATGCAATTTAGCATCAAATATAATTATGCAAGATTTCTAGTTGCCATACCTGAAGACAACTAAGAAAAGAATAAAATTGTTCATATGTGACATCTTTGTTTAGCTGACCTGAAAAACAAAATATTTTTAGTCAATAGATTTCAAAACTAAAATATCCTGGCTGGAAACATATAAGCTATCTATTTGACAAGGATTTCATAATAGTTCTATTCATGGATTCATAAAATAGCCAACCAGATTTCCCATTAACTTCCTATCATTGTCATCACTGATTTTGACAGCAGGTATACATATCATAATACTCTTATACCCTAGTGAGGCAAGTCACAAAAAATTGTTACAGGCAATGGCCATAGATGGTACTTTCTTCTTTTTCGACTGAAAATGTAAACAACTCTTTAGATTTGCAATAAACTATTTCTAAATCTACAACACCTTAGCAATACTATTAAGATAGTGATAACAACAACTTTGTGAAGGAGAATAGAATAAAGTTATCTTCCACATATTATTTCTGTACAAAGAGACAGAGTCTGAAACATTCACATGTTAACAATAAATGGATATTTTTCCAAAATAGCACTGAGTCCCACAATATGTTCTACCAATGCATCTTGGGTAGTATTTTATATATATAAATAGCATTCTTGAAGAACAGTGTCATTTTGGAAAAAGAAAGAACTTCAGCCCTTTTCCATAACTTTTACTTCCATGTATGTCTTGTGTATTGATTCTTCTTATGAATCAGTTACCTTTAGATATAGATTATGTATGAACAATTCACTATATCAATAAAGAATCTCTAAAGCTATAGCTATATCTTTCTTCTATGTATAATGTACATAGTGATGTACTGCTGCTTTTCCAAATATTTTCTTGTTTGTTATTGGTTTATTGTCTCTTTTGTATTTTATTAAATAAATAAAGCAAAATGAAACAAAATAACCTCATCAGCTCTCTATTTAAAACAAAATATTTTAATTAAAGATAAAGTTTTCTAGCAATGAGACCACAGTGCTTCCCAGTGTGGCATTTATAGAGCCCCCCCCCCCAATTCTCATTCAGAGAATTGAACAAGGGATTCAGATGGGCTTTTTCACTGTATAAATTCTGCTGTTTTTTATCCTGTCTTCCTTATTTTCTTTCTCATGGAGTAAATCTGAACAGCAAAAAAGGAAAGGCTGCATATTATAGGTATTCTAGCAACTGTTCATATGTAAACATGTCAGATTTCCACCCAGCATTTGTTTCAGTCTCAAAATATATACAGTTTCTTCTTCTGTTCTAAGCCAATTCAGGCAGGAAGATAGGTGAATTAATCTTATAATAAAGTCAAATACTGAAAGTGAATGACTGATGCTTTACCTATTAATAAGACTTTCCCTCTCCAACAAATTTAGTCATTTCACATCAAGGAAGATCAAAACCATCTTTGTATATGTCAGCTTCACTTTTTATACAGCATAGATATTGGCTTTAAAGGAAAAAGGATGGCAACTATATGGCTGTATAGGTCATCTGAATTCAAACACTATTATACCACGCCCTCATATCTTAATTTATTCTGCATTGTTGCTTTTTTTCTAGCTTAATTCTCCAATAAACCCAGAACGGGAAGTAAAACTAATAGTTTATCAGCCAAATCTATAAAGTTGATAGTAGCATTTTCCTCTAGATATTTGTCCTAAATCTCCCAGGGTTAAGCTTCATTGGATGACTAGCTTCTAGCAGGATAAGTTTGGAAGAAAAATATCTATCATAAATTTGAAATAGAGATTAAATTATTACAGATAACTTTGGAAGTCTGCAAATTATGTTTCTGCCCAATTTGGTGCTTTATGGACCTTTTAAATATTAATAACCCTGCTTTTCCTTGACCACACAGATTTTTTTCTTAAAAATGCAAGGTATTTAGCTTGCCAGTTAAAAAAGTCATCTCATTAATTCTTTCTGCCTAAAAAAAACTATAGGTACATGTTTTTGTGCAGAAAGGACTTGTATTTTACTGTTGTTTTTAAAAACTCGGAATCTCTAAAATGCCTTCAAACTCAAGAAAAAAGATAAGTATTACATTTACCAAGAGGATGGTATCTCCTGTGCATGGCATCCCAGATAAAGCTACCATTTACTAAGCCAATCAAAATCACGTGGCTCCCTTTTGGAAGTTGACTATCCAGGTAAAGCAAAGTCTTCACAACATTGGAGCGCATTTGTTTAGGATGTGTCATTTCGTCCAATGTGTCTGGATTTCTGTAAAAGAAAGAATAAAGAACCATATATCCTTTAATATGACCCATGATTATAAATTATGAGCAATATCTTCTTTGAAGTTACTTAGTTTTAAAACAAACCAAAACAAATGACCATGCTCAAAGTATTCTGCTTTGGACACATTATGTGAAGACCCTAGCCCTCTGGAGAAGGCTGCCATGCTGGAAAAAGTAGAAGGAAAGAGAAGAAACAAACCAATAGCTAGGTGGATGGACTCTATTATCATAGCAATGAGGGCACCTTTGCAAGTTCTCAAAGAACAGGTTAGGGACTGATCATTATGGAGAAAATCTCTCTGGGCAGTCAGTAGAATTGAAAATGATTTGATGTCACTTAATCAGTTAATTAAAAAATTGAAACCAGATAATTAATTAGCTCTATCCCAATCTTGCCCTTCTACTTAAAATGTCAAAATACCCAAGGATGTGTATGCTAACATTATCTAATAAATGCAGACTATTTCTTTTCTGAGAAGTAAGGATTGTGGAAAATTAAATGCTAAACTGACAAGTCATTCCATTTGCACTTGTAGTCAGTCTCAGCATTTAGCAGAAGTTCTTAAAGATAAAGCTTTTTCTGAAGGGGCAGGGTGCAACTTCCAATACACCTGATTTAGCATGACAGAATTCTAATCCCTTTCTATAATTTATTTCTGTTATCTTTTATTTTAAAGAACAGATTGCCTCTGGGCCCTGTCAATCATATCTGGCTTCTCTCTTGCTACCATGTCTTCATTTCACAGATAAAATGGGGAATTTACTGTGGAAATGATCAATTTAGAAACCAAAGTACATCTACTATCAACAAAAGCCTAAAACGTGTCACAGTTTCTATGCATTTTTAATGTTCATTATTATTTCTTCTGTCCCAGACATGTCTTGTAAGCTATGAAATATATATCATCTGTCTGTATTTTTATACAACACCCAAATTGGCCATTGTAATTTAAGTTCTATTGGGAAAGTGCCAAGCTGTCAGTTTTACTATCTCTACCACAAATGCATTTCTCAGTCTTCATTTTTTATGTTGTCATGACTTAGTGGCTTATGTCCTTTACTTCAGACATGATTACACAGCATATAGAACCTGGTTGTCTTATCATTGTTTCAAGAAATGGATTGAATTACATCAAGACTTTATTATATTAAAACAGACTAAATACCAGATCATTAAAATCTAATGATACAGTAAAATAATAAAAATAATAAAATAATTAAACACACCTATACCTACCCACACACAAAACCTGATTCTGTAATGTTAATATATTATTATACCCATCTTTAACTTTGGTACATGGATATATAATTTGATATTTATGCTATCATATTATGATTATTTGGAATAATAGAAACATATGTCAGCCTCTTGTAATCTTTAATCCGTGCTAAATCTGAGTATATTTTAAGCAAAAAAAATAAATAAATCTGTAAGATGACTTGTAAGGATCAAAATTTTTATCCCATACATTTTCTACTTTTTCTTGGAATACAGTTTTCCAAATGGATTTAATTCAGTATCTCTTTGAAAGTAATCTCTCATCATGACAAGAATGATGGAATGAGTGAGTTTTCTTTAGGACCACAGACAGACTTGAACATTCATATTATTTTGGCATCCAATTTCTTTCAGAAGCAATATAGTTGCATATAGTATCATATAGTTGCATGCATACTGCAGCCAATTTAAAGAATGCTACGATAACTACCTTATAAGATGGGGTAGGCTTTCTCATAAGTAGAAAAGAATAGGATTGCATTGTAATCATGGAAAAATGATCCAAAGGGGGAAAAGCATTTAAAACAGAAGCAAGAAAAGGATATGAAGGCACAATTTGATGAACTAACGATCAGAAATAGTAGAATTTTAAGGGAAGTAACTTCTTGTAAATGTTAACAACTAATTGGTATAAATATGAAAATTATGGATGCACATAAGCCTGTTTCCCTGTTTCAATATAATTGGGAAGAAAAAAAGGTAGACAATCACAGCTAAGATTTTGCACAGTGAATTGCATATCTTTGTATTACACATATATTTTATTAAATGTTTATTTTTTAATAATGGAGCTACTAGAACCTCAATTTAAAAAGTAGACAGCCAAGACAAAGAACTGGGCTATATCAGATAAAACAACAATTAATGTCATTCATGTATAAATTTGATTAAAATTAAGTGAAGATATAATTAATATGATTGTTCCTTATGATTTTCATAATTTTATCTTTTGGTTGAATTACAACTTGCAATCAGAAAACAACTTTACCAATGAAGGTTTAAGGGAATGCATGTTGTGAATCCCCCCCCCTTTTTTTTTTTTACCAATCTACAGTCTTCCAAACACTTTTTATGAGATGTCAGAATATGGTGGGAGCTGTAACTGATAAATACAATTATTTGGGGAAGAAGGATGTGATAGGTGTACAAAACATAATGGAAATCTAAATTCCTTAGATTCATTGTTGCACTAAGGACATTATATCAAGATTATGCATTAATAAATCATTTTGCACATTTATTTATCATATCTTTTTACTGCATGTACCTGACAAAGCCAGACAGAAAATATTCTACTAAAATATTTGTAGAGACACATATATGAAAGAAAATAATTCTATGTAAAAATACTGGAGAGCATGCATACAGACAGAAAATCAGAATGTTTAATATAACATTATAAGGATGTTACACAACATAAGGCAAATGTACAATATATCTATACTAAACAATTAGATATTGTACCACTTCATTCTTGTCACTGCTTAAAAATATATTTGAAATTATAGGTTAATGATAATAATAAACCTACCCATTGCAGACATCTCTGGAAAGAATGAATGACTATTAGCTTAATTTAAATCTCTAGTATGGATACGTTCTGTGTTAATTTTATTTTTAATCTTACCCATTGCAGACATCATTCCCAATCATTGCAAAAATAACTATGGCTGGTTTGTCAAATTGCTGATTCCTTGCCAAGCTAGAAATGAAAAATAAATTAAAAGTATAACTTAACAATTCTATACATACAATGAATAATCACACACATGCATCCCATACTTATACATATTGTGACAACCAATATATTCCAGTTATATTGAACCTATTGATGAAAAGTACCATAGATATTTATAGAAATAAATGTAGGTATAAAGTCCAGATCACACTTAATTAAGAAATTGTGGTCACAGTTTATATAAGCATGTAGAAAAGAAGTAGTGTGGCTCTTCTATATTTAGATCTTATTTACTACTTACCTTTGTACAAGATGTAGTACATTTCTTGAAGAGGCACCTAAATAACCAAAGTAATTGGATACAAGAAAATATAAGGCAGCTGAATGAACTATCTATTGTTATATTAAGTACATAATTTAAGTTGTCATAAATAAAAGTGATAATTCAACCTTACTTAATTTAAATGGAATTTCTTTTTGTTTTATGGTTTACGGTCAACATATCCTATGTTGAGGGTATATCTGCATATTTTAAATCTAAAATGTAGAGAAGTTACAGTAGAAGTGTAACAGCTGAGTTGGGAGGTAGAATGGAATCCTATGTTTCAAAGTACATACTCTAATTTTCTGAACTATTATAATAGCAGTTTAGTTTTGGGGCAAAAAAATTGCCACATTCTTAACTAAACAATTTAGAGAGTAATAGTATCCATCTGGTGTGGTGTGACAGACTAAAATTTACTTTCCATGATTTGGTAAATAAAATAAGGAGAAGGTTTTTAAGATTTCTAACTTCTGGGATATGTATGTGGACTACAAATCTAGGGCTCCCAACACCTCAGCTTGAATGATCTCACATTATTAATGCAGCCTTCAAAAACTAGGCATCTTCCAAAGTGTGAACCTCAATTTCTATAGTTCCACAACCAGAATAGTTATTGTTGCAAACTGAAAATTGAAATTCATACATCTGAAAATAATCAAGATCAAAGAAAGCTAGATTAATGTTTTAGAGATCCTTTCATGAAGTTTTATCTAATACTAAGCCAGAGGATGGAGTACCCATGGCATCCCATTCATTCTTCCATTAGTCATAATGATTTCTTCCACAACTGCTGCTCTGGCTATCTAAAACCTGCTGATTTTAGAAAGCAGCAAAGGAAGATGAAAAGATCTGGGTGAATCAAGTGGGAGAACTTTGAATTCCCAGTTCAGAAATTGACTGACAGAATGCTACATTGCATTCTGGTAAAATTATTACACTATGAGAGTGCTAAATAGGCTCTAATTATTCTGTTTTACATAGGAAGGCCTCCAAGTCCAGCTCAGGTATAGTTTTCTTCCTGAATTTCATTTAAATGCAATAATAAGGTATCATTTGTCATAGCCAAAAAGAAATGGATCTTCAATACAATAAATATAATATATGAAAGCTTTTGTAGCAACACTGTGGACAAGAATTGGAAAGATAGTTTCAACGGAATTCAAATCTTGCACTTTTGTGCAAGAATAATTAGATAGTGAGTTGCCCTTAACTTATCACTCAATGAACCCTTTGCTCATGAAAGTTATAAAGTATAAAATTTAATGATGCAAACTGAAGAGGCTCCAGGTTCCCCTAATTGTATTCAAGTGAAGTATGATTCTTTATACAAGCAAGATTAAAATCACATTTCCCCTTTACTAATGGCACTCAACTCTGTCATGAATTGCCTGTCTTTATAATGTTCAATGGACCAAAGCCCTCATTATAATTACAAGAGAATATGAGTTGCTCAGGTTCAAGGTGGAACATTTCATCATAGAATGTGAAAAAAGAATAGATGAGAAATTATGAAGTAAAGGAGAAAAGATTGAGAGAGAGTCTCTGCATTAGTAATATGTAAAAAAAAAATAGAGTGCAGAATCAAAAGTTGAAGGTAATCTGTCTTTAGATTATCCAGGACAGACCTGGATTTCACTGTAAATCTTTGTACATGATTATTTACAGTGCAAATCTCCTGCACTCAGGGGTGAAGCTAAATATGGCAGAATATGAACCTTGAACCTTCATAGAAAACAGATGCTGTATCCTCTGAGCTATGCTTTTACGAAACTGAAGCTCAAATTTTATAACCTGCTGCTCTGTCTAAATTTAGAATAAGAGTTCAGTCCTGCAGTGTTCCGGCTTCTATTTATGGAGCACGGCTATAAGCACCAATGAAAATGATGGATGAGAAGATACCATTTTTAGAAATATTCTGGTAATCTTTATGATTGCAGCGATTTCTTCTACGTAATAGGCTGTAGAGTGACTCTGTCCTTCCTCTGAAAAAGATAATCAAAATGGTGGTTAGTGAATTGATACTATATAACTAAGGGACAGGACATAAACTTTCTTTTGCATAATATTGTTATTTTCCCTTTCTTTGATTTCTGGACGAATTGCAATACATCTCACAGAGTTGCTGTGATGGCCATAAAATGAAGGGAGATTTCCAGGTAACCAATATGAGCTTCTGGAAGCATGCAGAATATACATCTAGGAAATTAGCATACATGTCTGCACACACAAAAAGTCCAGACACTTTATGTATATTTTGTATTTTAGTTCAAAGAACTGCCCTGTTTCATTGACAAAATTAAACCTGGGTAGTTTCTAAGAAAGATGAGTAACATACAGTAGTTATAAATCAGTAACAATGATTATAAGGCTATGTCTATTGCAATGATTATAAATATGATATATAATAGTTTAAATGTGATGCATTCCAAGTGGCATTATAAATTATTGTATACTCTGAACTTTAGGAGCTCTGGTAACTTAAAACCTAAAGAAAAGATGAAAGGAGCAGGAAAAAAGAGACATTAACCTATTTTCAAAGCAGACTTGAATCACTGGCTTTGTTTAATTGACAGACTGACTTGAGACTTGAGACCAGACAAACAAAAGCAGCTGCTACTGGGCATTATAGTCAAGATGACAGTAACATTGTGCAGTCCATAAAATTGCATTATTAATGAGGGTGGATTTCCTATAAATAGCTACTTACATTTGACAGCTTCAGCTTTTAGAAAGCAGTCAACTATGCTACATAAAGTACAGCAAGTAGTATATTACATTTTAAAAACACCAATACTTTCAACCAAGTATTTCTTTAAAAAAGGCACTAAAATATATTGCTATTTGTGTATCCTCAGTGTGTCAATATACTGCATGTACTTATAAGCATTAGTGAATTGGCTTGCAAGGTAGTCTCTGGAGATCCTAGTTTGCACATAATAGTGGGAGTATGCTGGTAATAAAAGTAAACTTTAGTTGTACTTACTGATCAAAATGTGCAGACAGAGAGAATAAGTATTGTCCTTACTATTAGCAGAAAGGCATGTGGCATGGGTACAATTAAGACTGGAAACTCTTCCCTTCTCTTATTGAAAAATGTCATTTGAAAGTCTTGACTGGCCAAAGGATGCCCTGAGAGGCAGAGTTAATACTTATGAACCCATCTGTTGACTAGTATGGCATATGGAAGATTATGACTGGGAACGTCAGAGGAGTAAAGACAATAAAGTAATACATGTAAAAACTAAAAGAAAAGAGATAAATTGTGTGTTTATGAAACCAAAATAAAGTGGAAGATAAAACAGATTTCAATCAAGGTCAGTTTGAACTTGTGAAACAGAAATGATAAAGATGTATATAAAAGTTAAGATATAGGTTTAATTTAATTATAGTCCGAGTTGACATAATTCAGGTTGGTGATTGTTGTAATGCTATACTCGAAGAATATTACATAATGAAAGATAATGCAAATGCAAAATAATGAAAGAACTAGAGATACATTGGGATGAAAATGGTGTGACCTTCTGAATGATTAGGATCCAGGGAAAAAATGTTATTCTCTTACACAGCATGAATGGATAGGTAGGTAGGAACAAAACAAGAGAGTACAGTATATATAATATAGATGGGAAACATCAATTTATTTTAAACATGTGGTTTTACTATACACACAAACACATACATATATATACACACATATGCATACATATACATACATATATGCAAACATGGCAAAAAAGGGAATGGAATTTAAAAGCATATTTTATTTGATTCATTAAATCTAGATTTGAAAGACTGAGAATGTTGAGGAAGAATACAAGGTTGAGAACAGATTCTGGATATGAGGCACATTTTTCTTGGCAGTGTCATGATTGGATTTTAGAAAAATGGACCAAGGAATAAAAAAAGAATTAAAAGAAATGAGAGTGAAAATATAACACTTATAGGAAAAGAAAGAACAAGTCTGGTATGCAAAATATTACATTAATAGATAAATTTGACTTTTTATACTTGATTACCTTAACTTGTTCTAGAGTAAAGTACAATAAATTGCAATCACATTTAATATATTTCAAATGCAAGACAGTTCATTCATTAATCTGTTCAGTCCCTTTCCTGTATCAAGTTGTAATAAAAACAAACTATGCAAAACAGAACCAAGTGCATATTTTAATCAATTTCTTTGAAAAGATAGATTTCTACAGTTTGTTTGGAAAGTATACCCTATGCAACCTTGGCTCTTTTATGACTCGTGGACTTCAACTCCCAGAATGCCTGAGCCAGCCATGGCTGGCTCAGGCATTCTGGGAGTTGAAGTCCACGAGTCATAAAAGAGCCAAGGTTGCCTACCCCTGCCCTATACTGTAAACCTATTTCATTCTAAAGTGCACATTTCATTTATTTTGGCTTAGTCCTTGAGCCAACTGCATTGTAACATTTGGTGTGGGTGTGCCTTCAAGTCAGTTTTTGATTCCTGCTGACTGCATGGACTGCTCCCTGCAGGGTTTTTTTTTTTAATCAAGGTTTTTCAGAAATGGCTTGCCATTGCCTGCTTCCTAGGGCTGAGAGAAGTGACTTTCAATTTGTGGTTCAAAGAAAATTCCTAACCATCTTTAGTTGGCAGAAACATTGGATTATAATCCTATTTTTTAAACATTTAATTCAAATGTCCATTACTACACTGAACTCTTTTCAACATTCAAGCATCCTAAAGATTTTAGCTGCTATTATCTTACCCAATTGTGGAATTGAGAAACCCAGTGACTGCTGAAAATTGAGGCCAGTCAATTTCGTTGCTAATTACCTCAAGAATGTTGGAATAAGTTTTCTATAAAGAAGGTGAAAAAAATCAGACCGGTTTCATTTCCATACATCATAAATTAGTAATTAATTTGATTGTTTGCTGATGTTTACCAGACACTACAAAAAGTATGAAAAAATTAAATGCAATGTTAGATGCAGTTAATAGTCTTAATCAAATTAAATACGGTGACTTAGCTAATAATGATAGAAGAAGCAATACTGTAACTCAAAATACAATTGTATTTATTTAGCAATTTATATCAATACAGAACTCATTCTTTGAGATTTATTTCTTGAGACAAATTAGATTGCATTTATGATCTGGAGTCATGTTATGTTGTATACTATATTAGATGGAATGATGAGTAGAAACCATCAGTGGAGACAATTGAAAATAAATATAAACATTGTTTTTGGAAGAAGCGTTCTCTCTGATAATATTATTGATGGTCTTACAATAAATCCTAGCAAGCCAGCAAATTAGACCAACTCAGTAGTAGGCATAGCATATAGTTATGTAAATTATGAATATAGGGTAGTTTTACTGAACTTTTTTCTCATCCATTATTCTTATTGCCCTACAATCATTAAAACACTTTCATTAAGCATCAGCAATAAAGGAAGATGCTGGAGGCAAATGTTCAGTAGCAATAGAATTGTTTTATTCTGTAAGGAGAAGGCAAGGATAAACTGCTCCTATATTTTATCAAGTAAATTACATGGATAGGCAATATATACAGGGGTGTCAAACTGCTAGCCCACGGGCCGGATGTGTTACGCTAAAACTGTGCCCACCCCATTGCCGGCAACAGGGAAAAAGTCGCAATACATCGCAACACGTCACGTGATGTTGCGAGTTTGACACCCGTGCAAGACAAACTCAACTCAGCATTCTCACTCAAGGCATAAATCACCAAATTCAAAATATCATATTTGGACATATTTTACAAAGATCTAGCTTTCTGGAGAAGTCTATAGTGCTGGAAAAAGTAGAAGGAATGAAAAAAAGACAACCAATATCAAAGCAGATGGTTTCAATTGCAGCAGTGATGGATGCACCAGTGGAAGATCTAAAGGGTTTGGGGACAAGTCATCCTGGAGAATATCTATCTGGTTGCTAAAATCAACATTGATTTGATAGCACATAATTAATCAAATGAAGCTAGACTAGGCAAATTAAAAAGGCCACTCTGGAGAATGCAGTGACAAACTTTTCTGTTGTTTAAAAAAAAAAAAAAAAAAGACATGGGCATGTTCATGCCTTTGAGATGAAATTTGACTGAAGGAAACTTTTAATTTTATCTTAATGATAAATATCGCATAGGCAATACTTATATCTCACTTTATGTAAAAAACAAACAGAAAATGAGAAATCACTATTCACATTTATGATGGCTTATCTATCTATCTTATCTATCTTCTTCCCTTTTTAAATAAAGAGTTTCTGGTTTTCTGGGTTTGCTCATTAATTTACATATCTCTCATTGCACTATAATCATGCATTATTACATTGGTGGCAATTTCTATTGAAAGCTGTAGAAAGTTAAATGTCAGCTGACATTTTTACATCTGTTGTCATCTGCCGTCCCTTTGTAACACAGAAGTACATTGTTAAAGCCAACCAGTGCTACAGCATTCCCAACTGTGATGCTGACATACCGGTGATATCTGTGACGCGGTTATCCATTCAGGGGGGATATGTGCTCGAGCTCCAGCAGAGTCTCCCAGCATAATTATACCCTTGGATTCTGTGCCTAAGGTACATATTTGATTAATAATCTTAAAGTTCTCATTAGATTTTCTCATGTAGTAAGTTATATATTGAAAAATGCACAAACCATGCAAGAGTTTAATGCCCAAAGAGCAAAAAAAAAAAAAAAAAGGAATCAAATGACCATTTATGCTCTTTTCCAAACTTCAACTTTATGGTCTGAAGGATTTAGAATAAATGGAGTGCAGCCATTTATTTTATAAGAAAGTGCAGGCTAATTGAGACCAAAGTCTCTCTTCAGACTAAGCAAGGTACTTTAATGTGAAGTAATTTTACTATTTGTAATGAACTGAATAAATTTTAAGCAATGAAACTGAGAATTTGCTGTCATCTATTGGAACAAAGTAACAAGCTTCTCAAGAAAGCTAGCTGTAAATTAATGAAATAAATGAGTAAAGAGTATGGCTTTCAAATATTAGAAAAATAACTCTGTCTATCTATTCTTAACTATCATTACTAAACTCTGATAGCCAAAAAAGACCTCCATGGAGCTCCAGTTTAACCTGTGTTAGAGCTTGTTTTAAACATTCATAAGATCATTTTGTGATTACTATGTGTTAAAGCAGTGGTTCTCAACCTTTTTAATGCCGCGACCCCCAACCGGTCGTAAGTCGAGGACTAAACCGGTTGTAAGTTGAGGACTAAACCGGTCGTAAGTCGAGGACTACCCAACCGATCGTAAGTCGAGGGTTAGGGTTAGGGTTAGGGGTTAGGGTTAGGGTTAGGGTTAGGGTTAGGGTTAGGGTGGGAGTGGAGGGGGAGGTGGTTGGGGGGTCAAGAGAGGGTGGGATGATTAGTACGGTCAGTGGGAGGGGCAGATATGGCAGGAGCAGAGGACCATATCGGGTTTGGGGAGCACGCACACGCTGTTTACAAGCGTGTGGGCGCTCCGGTCCTCAGGGCTCTACTCGGTTTCCAGGGAACTTAGATCCCCAGGCCCGGGATCACCGGCTGATGTTATGCAACGCCAGGTCGGTGGTAAACAAAGCCCCCCTCATTCAAGATCTTATTCAAGAGGGGGGTGC